ATACTATTCAATTTTCACCCGTTGGTATATAATATTATAAATATTTGCTTATCAATTAATTAACAATGGAAAAAAATGATAAGCAGAATGTATTTTTCAGGTTCACATGCAAATCATAAATATCAACCATAACTTAAAGGGACCCTAACTTATATTTAATAATTAATAAAATTCAAAGGGTATTAAGCAAACATGTTCTATCAATTAATGAAAATAAATTATAAATGAAAAGTCAGTTTGTACTTGTCTGTACAGATTCATTTCATTAGATTATAAGTCAAAGGCTAAGTTAAGATATCATGTGAAGTAGAAGAATAAACAAAAATGAAACTTCATTGAAATCTACATTTTTCAATTATTCCAAGTGACACAGAGGAAATTACGGCAACTAATTAAGACTTTTTAGGTAAGCCACGTTCTTGGCTTGTATTTGACTCGTTTGAGAATTTAATAATTTTTTTAATTATTTGGTATCCGAAATCATGGAAAACTAATTTAAATTTGCGCTGAGTAAGCTCATAAGAGGGTAAAATGTTCTTTACTAAGAAGTTTTTTATTTTCGAGCGCGAACCAGAAACCTCTAGTTAAGCGAAAGGCAGGAGTAGAGCTAGGGTATCGAAAGAGGGTTCATTCGAATCCCGTTCGCCGAAAAATTACATTGTATCTATAAGGTTAAAAAAAAAATTATGCATAAATAGCATATATTTTATCTTCTTGACTTGTTTCGCGTGTTTACTTATAAAAATCCTCGCTCCGCCACCAGAAGAAAGATTCCAATTATCTCACCTCTAGTTAAGAGGAAGAAGTTTCCAATTATCTCACTATATATTGTAAAAAGATTTTACACTATTCATATAGTTTAACTGAATATAATATGTTGTTTTTATGTTTCTTAAGTTGTCAAATCAAACTACTATGCTATTGGTTGTTGTACGTAAATTTTATTTTGTGTCTCGTATAACTGACACTAGTTGTATGAGGTAACTTTTTTGTCTCACAGTTTTATGGACCCAAAAGAATAAGATTGGGGTCCACAAATTTGTGAGACAAAAAAGAGCGTCATACAACTAGTGTAAGTTTTATGAGTCACAAAATAAAACTTCTCGTTGTTGTAGGTCAATAGTTAATCTGATATAATACTCCCTTCGGTCCAAAATAAGTGATTTTTTAGTCATTTTTTTGTGGTCCAAAATAAGTGATTTTTCCAAATTTCAAGAATAAATTAATTTTTTTTCCTACATTGTCCTTGGAGTAAATAATGTTGGAGTATGTGTTAGGAGTATTTATGTGAAGAGATAGTAAAGATTAATATGGTCAGTTTAATTGCTAATTGATGTTAAAAGGTGAATTTCTTAATCTGTGTGAAAACAGCTAAAAAATACTTATTTTGGATCAGAGGGAGTAAGAAACTACGGTCAAACCTCTGTATAATAACCTTGTTTTCGGACATTTTTTTGCTGCTATAGCGAAGTGCTATTATAAAGAATATGTATTACACACAAGATGAAATTTGATTCCAAAAAACACTTAGCCGTTATAAAAAAGTGTTGACTGTAGAGATGTTTGACAGTAGTATATTTTGTATAATGGTTATAAATGATAGTAACCGTTATAGAGATGTTTGACAGTAGTATATTTTGTAAGTACATAAAAGTTAAGCTCTTTTCTTAATAAAATAATATCAAGTTTTCAATCAAATAAAGAGGAAAATGAGACAACCCGACACATTTCACGGCTAATTTAGTGGCACTATGTAATGGCTATACACTTTTTCTTTTTCTTTTTCTTTTTATTCTTATCTTTACTAAACTTTTATGTTCTTTCCTTCATTAATCTTTAAATAGGACATGTTCTTGGTTTTTTCTCTTCATTCTATTTGACACTACTTTTTTCACTAAGTTTTTGCACTAAAATGGCTTCCCTTTTTTCTCTTTCTTTTGTACTCATTTTTTGTTTGTACATCAGCTTTGCTTCTGCAACATCTGCTCCTTATCTTGATGGTAAGTTCTACTCTTATGTAAATTCTTCTTTACTTTCTTGAATGTTATTAAAAGTGAGCAACTCTAGCTGCTATAAAGATGAGTAGTACTTAGAAATGTTATTTTACCCGGTGCGCATAGAGTGCTCACCCGAAGGGCAGGTTGTAGCGGCCGCGAGTTTTCTTGGGGTTCCAAAAAAAAAATGATGCTATTGATACGTAGGAGTCATTTGGTAGTGCGTATGGGTAATCAGTTGAACACCTTTTGCCGGTACATTATACTGTGTACAGGCAGCCTGGTGTACAAGGCAACTTGTATTAAAGTTGAATCCGCAAAAGGTCGCACCCCAAGGGGTGTGATGAACATAGGCGGACCTAGGATTTGAACGTGGGTGCACTTTTGGATTCAACCAAAATCTGATTTGTATATAGGGTACGCACTACTAATATATTACTATTTTTTAAGTACATATATATGTATATATGGAATTTTTGTCGAACTTTAAGGGGGCCGGTGACCCCTCTTAGTACAGCATAGGTCCGCCTTTGGTGATGAAGGCGGACTACCCTAATGCAAGCATTAGTGACTGCTTCCACAGTTCGAACCGTGACCTTAATATTACTTTTTATGCATATTAGTTAAATGTTGAACACTCTTAGCCAAATTCGTAGCTTCGCCATTGCTACTATAAGAGTAGCAAATAGATCAAGTTGTGGTTGTAGCTAACTTTTAGACCTCAGCTAATAAGATTGCATTTCAGCATTTTTGTACTGTATGCTATATGTTGTGCGGACTCTCCAAATATGTTGCCGCCTCCGTGTCGGATCCTCAAAAAATGCACTGCTTTTGGAGGATCCCACACGCACGCGTCTGCATTTTTTAGGAGTCTGAGCAACATCGACTGTATGCATGGGTTTAACAAGTTTGTAGGTCTATAAGTCACAGCAAATGAAATTCTTGAGCTATTTGTTTCCTGAAATAACTAATCACTCAGAATATTTGGGTGAATGTTATCTCCAATATACTGCTAGCTGAGAGATGATATTGATCTCTTTTGTAATATTTCACAGATTTATTGCAAAATGGAGACTTTGAACAAGGGCCAAAACCATCAAATATGAAGAAAACAGTGATCATTGGCAAATACTCCTTGCCCAAATGGGAAAAAAAGGGTATAGTAGAATGGGTATCCGGTGGGCCCCAGCCGGGCGGCTTCTACTTTCCGATCCCTCGTGGGGCCCACGCGGTTCGGTTAGGGAATGAGGCTTCTATCTCTCAATATGTAAAAGTGAAGCCAAACAAAACATATTCCCTCAAGTGGACTTGTGCTCAAGACGAGGTCCTTACTGTCTCAGCTGCAGGAATGTCGGGTGATCTTCCCATTCAGACACTATATAGTGCTGATGGTGGTGATACTTATGCTTGGGCTTTCAAAGCAAATTCTGATCTTGTTAAGGTCACATTTCACAACCCTGGCATCCAAGAAGATCCAACTTGTGGACCACTTATAGACCATGTTGCAATCAAGGAAATGAGCCCGGCAACATATACTAAAGGTAAGTTTTTACCCTACAATATATTGGATTATTTGCGCCATATGGCCTTTTATAGGCCATTTTTTTAAACCCTCCCTTCCTTGGCGTAACTGGTAAAGTTGCTATCATATGACCAGGAGGTCACGAGTTCGAGCCGTGGAAATAGCCTCTCGCAGAAATGCAGGGTAAGTCTACATACAATAGACCCTTGTGGTCCGGACCTTCCGGGGACTTGACTGCCCTTTTTTAAAATCCTTCCTCATTTGTCCAGGGGGCTAAATTTCGTCTTTAAAAGTAGTTGGATGATACGTCTCACCACAATGTCGTGTGGCTTTGACCAGAATCTTGCTAGCAAACTTAAATCCCAACCAAGGGAGACTGTCTAATCGCCCAAACCAATTGTTACGACCATAGTCCTATACCTTGCAAGGGAACTTAAATAGTGGCCTCAAAAAGGCCATTTGTGCAAATGTGCCTACTACATTGTGAAATTCTCAGCTTAGTAGAATGGTGCATACAAAATCAGATTCTGATGCAGTACCTTTTCTTGGACAATGTATGCAGGTAACTTGGTGAAAAATGGTGGATTTGAAAATGGTCCTCATGTATTCAAGAACTTCTCGACAGGGGTGCTCGTCCTGCCTCTAAAACAAGACAAGTACTCACCAATCCCCGGATGGATGGTTCAGTTTGCAAAACCAGCAAAATACATCGACTCGAAGCATTTCTTAGTGCCTTCAGGATGTGGAGCTGTTGAATTGATAGGAGGAAGGGAAACAGGCATTGCACAGATCGTAAGGACAGTCCCCAAACAATTCTACAACCTGACTTTCACCATCGGCGATGCCAACAATGACTGCCACGGATCTATGACAGTTCAAGCATTTGCGGGGAAGGCCAGGACAGAAGTTTCCTTTGTATCAAGTGGAAAAGGATGGTACAAGAAAGCAAGCTTCAAGTTCCAGGCGGATACGAGTAGAACAACAATAGCTTTCTATAATCCATATTATCACACGAAGATACATGACTTCGGTCACATGTGTGGACCTGTCATCGATGATGTTAGTCTTGTTCGTGTCCGTAGATAAGCAGAAGGAAATGAGCATACTCAGAAAAGGTCAATTTCTAGACAAGTTTTAATAGGAATAGATTTTTCTCTTTTCAAGATCAAATTTGTAATACTCAATCAAGTGAACACATGTGTGAAGAAGGGTAGTGAAATCTACCATTGTTTTTATGTTTCTTTAAGTTTTCATTCTGAACAAGAATGACATATCCAATAAAAGTAGTAACATACCTTTCTTGTTTCCTCTAGAAGTCATAAAGTGCTTAATCATGTATTCTAAAAAAAAGCAGCTTGACGTACTAAGCTCCTGCTATGCGCGAGATCCCGGGAAGGGCCTGACCACAAAGGTCTGTTGTACGCAGCCTTACCCTGCATTTCTGCAAGAGGCTGTTTCCACGGCTTGAACTTGTGACCTCGTGGTCACATGGCAGTAACTTTATCAGTTACGTCAAGGCTCCCCTTCCGCTTAATCATGTATTCTCTTGGTTCCAAATCTGATGGTACCATCAACTTTCCTGATCCTTTGAGCTTTTCCTTGGAAGGAGTATACCTATTTACAAATTAAATCGAAGATGAAAGAAGAGTCATGGTACTGATGAACTTGATTGGTTAGATAGCCTACCCCATGCAATCAAGATTAATCGAGCCTAGTGGGCTACGGATGTTGTAACAGCGTTGCCCACTAGTGATATTGTTTGCTTTGGGCCTAGGTCCGCACGGCTTTAAAACGCATCACTAAAGTCTAAGGCGTGTCTACTTATATGCCCAGCATCTCTCCCTTGTTTTGTCGATGTGAGATTCGCCTACAGTGTCACATACACCCCCTTTATGTTCAAGGTTGCACGCGGAGTGACGTTGATACTATATGTAACAACCCAACCCACTAGTGATATTATCCTTTTTGGGCCTAGGACCGCACGGCTTTAAAATGCCTCACAAAAATCTAAGGCATGTCTACTTATATACCCAGCATCTCTCCCGTCTAAGGTGTCAGACGCTGGATGGTTAAACTAAATAAAATAATCCAGAAAGCAAGCAGTCCGGTGGTTGGCTGCACGAGATATTACAGTCTGTACATACAGACTACCGGGCTCTATTAGCTACAAGGAACCAGTACAAGTTCTCTCTTTAAGACATAGCATAATCTTTACCAATACATTCAGAAAGAAACTAGTACTCATCATGCCTAGATATATTTTAGAGTACCTCTGGCTGTGATGACGCCACGTGCTTTACGTGATTATCAGATGCAAAAGGCTAAAAGTATAAACAATAGGCAAAGATACTACTCAAGGCATAACATTAAACAGTACATGATTATCCATGAAGGAAGCAACACAAGGGTCCATACAGATAGTTGGATCATTGAATCAGTTTTCTGTTGATACGAGCCTCAGAAATATGAGTGCCTTCGGATTCTGAACTTAAGATTGGACATTTGTCGATCCTCAGTACCTTCAGGTTCGTGAGGCAACTCATCCCCTCGGGCAATGAAGATAACTTACCGCACTTGGAAATTTCAAGTTTTTCAAGTGCGATTAGATTTTCCAGCCACTTTGGCAATGCTGCAAAATTGGGACACCTTTCCACCCTCAGGTACTGTAGAGTCGCACTTGCACCTTCAAGCCATCGGGGCAAAGCAACTAACTGTGGTAACCCTGCAAGCACCAACATCTGGAGGTTCCCGAGGCGTTGAACATCTTTTGACTCCAATTCGGGTAAGCCTCCAATAACCAATGACCGGATCATCCTAAGTCCTTCAATATCTTGCCACTCCAACAATGTAAGCTCTTCACAGTCAACGATCAACAGATTCTCCAGAGCAGTAAGGTGTTTCATAGTACTTGGGAAAAAGGTCAGTCTTGGGCAACCAATAATTGCCAACGTGCGAAGGCTAGTCAGATATTGCAGGCCTTCAGACAAAGATACGAGATTCGTGCAGCTATGAATATACAAAGAACGAAGAGATGATAAACAGCCAATTGCTTTATCAGGAAAACATGTTTGCTTGGTGGTTATATGCAAGTGTCTTAGGCTGATCAAATTTCCTATATCTTTAGGTAATCCTTCAAGTTGTGCACAATGAGAAAGTCGAAGTGTCTGTAAGCTCAGTAACTTGTTAATCGAATCAGGTAATTCTTTAATGCTGCCATTGGAATTTATGTCAAGATATCTCAAGTACTTCAATTCGCCAACAGAGCGAGGCAGCTCATCGAAACATGAATGACTTATATCTAGCACCCTAAGTTGCACGAATCTTGCTATGCAGTTCTCGATGAACATTGTACTCATCGGTCCTACTCCATCAACAGAGAAGGATATGGTCCTCAATGTCTGGTTATTGAGAAGGGATGCTGGCAGTTCCGCTGCTGACAAATCATAGTCAGAAAATGCCACATGCCTGGCCTCATCAGAAATGATTTGCGTGTGAGAATTTACGGTACAAAATTCAACCCCTGCTGCTGACAGTGCAAGATCATGTACAAGGTCATGCAATTTACAGAGTGAGGTAAACACAGAACGATATTCTTCAACGTCTTGAAAAAAGGATCTCGACAATAACTCTTGGAAATATTGAATCCCAATGTGCTCAAGATCTTCTGACTCATTAGACTTACTAACGAGACCTTCTGCTACCCACAACTGTATCAGTTTATCTATTTCAATCACACAGCCTTTGGGAAATACTGAGCAGTAAGCAAGACAAACTTTTAGATTAGATGGTAATCGCTCGTAGCTCACTTTTAATGCAGGTAAAATATTGTCATTCTGCTTTGAGTTCCACATCTCATGATTTTTAACTTCATGCCACTCCCATTCGTTAGTTTCCATGTGTAATGAAGATCCTAAAGTCATTAAGAGTAAGGGATTTCCCTCACAATTCTGCACTATATCTGATGCAATCCCGACGAGATTTGGATATAGCACTTCTTGACCTTGTTCAAAGGCCTTTCTCAAGAACACAGTCAGACAATCTTCACTTGATAAACCCTTCAAACAGTATGCAGGAATCGTCCCCATTATCGAAGCTACTGCCTCATTCCTCGTAGTCACAAGAATCTTGCTTCCAAAAGCACCCACCATCAACAATTTCTTCAAGTCATCCCACTTCATTGTGTCCTCATTCCACACATCATCTAAAACAAGCAAATACTTCTTTTCATACAAAGTCTCACGAACTAGATTCTGCAGTTCATTCATATCAAGACTCTCGCGTAAATCATCTCTAACTGAATTCACAATTTGTTTTAATAATTTCTCTACATTAAACACGCGAGTCATCTATAAACTCCCATGTGTTCTGATACATTCACCATAAATTGGATGCATTCATCTCACCTACAACAATTGGTTATTTACTCCTGGAGCTGTGATCTCTTAACTCCCATGTGATGTGGGACATCCATCATAAATTTGACATATTCATCTCACCTACATCAAAAGTTGATGAGTTAGGTTGCATTGGAGTCAGAGGACTAACATCTTTATGGAAATGCATCAATAACCTGTTAGTAATAGGTCCAATATTTGATATATGATGTGAGAAATCAGCATAATTCAGTCATTAATGCAGACAAGATAGTAATTCATTATTCTTAACAATAGGCCGTGGAGACTTTTTGGTTCATCATGCTATTGCTCTTGGAGAAGGGGAGTCTTGGCGTAACTGGTAAAGTTGTTGCCATGTGACCAGGAGGTCACGGGTTCAAGCCGTAGAAATAGCCTCTTGCAAAAATGCAAGGTAAGGTTGCGTACAATAGACCCTTATGGTCCGGCCCTTCCCCGGACCCCGTGCATAGCGGGAGCTTAGTGCACTGGGCTACCCTTTTTATGTTATTGCTCTTGGTGTTGCTTCAGTTATTTTATTTTTTGACTATCGTTACTGCTTCTCTTTACATGGATTATTTTCTTTACATGTTTCTCTTGAGCCGAGGGTCTATAGGAAACAGCCTCTCTACCTTCACAAGGTAGGAGTAAGGTTTGCATACACACTACACTTCCCAAATCCCACCTATGAGACCCACACTAGGTTTGTTGTTGTTGTTGTTATGCTATAGCTCTTGGTTTACATACAACTACATTGATCTTAGTAAAAGGTGCTTTAGATGCACGTGGTTGAGATACAATTGTGGAAGTGGCAAATGAACTCAAGAGAAAACACAGCATAACAGACACAGCTCGTTTAACAGACATTCAAGAACTTGGTTTCATATGCGAATACGGCTTCAGGTGTACTTTTTTCATCCATTTTGTGTGTGTGTGAGAGAGAGGGGCACAGATCATTAAGGAAAATGGGCACTTGAGGGATAATCAGAAAGCATTTTGGCTCTATGTAACCACTAACCATAAGAATTTCATATTCAGTCATGTAACCTTCAAACTCAAAACTGTAGTAGTTCATTCAAAACACGACTACAAGAAGCAATTCATCATGTTGTTTGAAGCATCTAGTAACGAGGCCTCGATATCCTCTAGGAAGCCAGTAAGTTACCAGGCCAACATAAGGTCGATTTTGGGTCATTCCCCGTGGTGCATTTTATCACCTGAGATAGTTCTTAATAAAGAGCAATCAGTATAACATATTGGATTAAACAAACTAAAATTTAACTCCGTGTGAGCTTGCTCACTTTGACCTTCACAAACATGATAAAGGTGGAGGGTTGCAGTGGGTTGACAGCCAACTTAAAACTAATCATTTTTTTTACGAATCCTCTTAATTCAGACAAAAATGTTTTGGAAAAAATTGTAGCCCATCGAAGGGACTATTATGACAGATTCATCAAAGGGCATTGAAAATTCTTTGATTCTGGAACCTATACTAGCCAAAAGAGATAAAGAGTACTAGACTAAGCAATAAAGTATATACATGAATAAAGTTCAAATTTCAATTTTAAGACCTTTTGCTCGAGTTTTTGCGCTCTAATGGGGTGGGAGGAGAAAGGAATCAAGGAAGAATAAAAGAAAGTTGTACCTCACTGTATATTCTGATATCATTAAGATGAATTTCTTGGATGTGAGCTATCTTTGACCAATCCTCTCCAATATCCTTTTCACATCTTCTAGTTAATCCAGGGCATTTCTGGATTTTCAGCATCCTCAATGTAGTAAGAGAACTCATGCTATCCGGCAGAGATGACAATTGTGGACATCCTGTAATCTCAAGCTTCTCGAGGGCTGTGACATTCTCCAGCCAAGCAGGCAATGCAACAAAGCTTAGACAAGTCGAGATGCGAATGAATTTTAGACTATTAGAATCCCCCTTCAACCACTCAGGCAAAGCCACCAAATGTGGAAGCCCTCCGATCACCAGTGACCGTATTCGCTTTAGACCTTGAATATCTTGCCAGTCGGACAACATAAGCGCTTCACAATTGACAATCATAAAGCTCTCTAAGGCTGATAAGTGAACTATGCCTTTTGGCAAAGCAGTCAACCTCGGACAATCACCGATCACTAGAGTCCTAAGTTCTGTGAGCTTCTGTATTCCTTCAAATAGTGATACAAGATTTTCACATCCAAATATTGATAAGGATTGAAGAAGAGCCAAGGATCCCAATGCTTTCTCGGGCAAATTCTGCTCTTTGGTTGTCAAGTACAGATGTCTTAGACTGACCAAATTTCCCAGCTCCCTTGGTAATTTCTGAAGTTTCGTGCAAAGAACAAGCCGCAAAGTTTGCAGATTCGGCAACTTGCAAATGTTAGTGGGAAGCATCTGGATGTTGTTGTTGCCACTAAAATCAATGTACCTTAGATGCTTCATGTTTCCAATGGAATCTGGCAACGTCTCAAGACTTGAATGGCGTAAATCTAATACACGCAAGTATTTGAATCTTGTAATGCATTGACCAACCAAAAGAGCAGCATATCTTTCAAATCCTTCAGACGGAGCAAAGATGGTCCGAATTCTGTTCTGTTTGCATAAAATTTCTGGAATGCTTTTCTCTGAAGGACTATAACTGAAAAGCGTTACATGACGAACCTTCTCAGTTATACTATCAGTGTTGTTTTTTATGACACGACAATCGGTTTGTGCAACTAATACTGCAAGGTCATGAACAAGATCATGCATTTTAAAAGTTATGAATGAGTCGTATGCTTCAACCTCTTCAAAAAGAGATCTCGAACACAACTCTTTCACGTAGCGGACACCAACATCTTCCAACTCTTGGCTTTCATTAGACGAGTGTATCAGCCCTTGCGCCAACCACAATTGAATCAGCATGATGCTCGCGATTTCTTGACCCTTGGGAAATATTGAACAGTAAGCAAAACATTGCTTCAAGTAATATGGCAACTGATTATAGCTTAACCTTAGTGCAGGTAAGATATCATCATTTTCCTGTTTTAGTTGCCATATCTCGTCATCTCTCACTTTTAACCATTCCCTTTCATCAGTTGTCGCATATAACATACTACCTAGAGTCTTCACTGCCAAAGGCACTCCTTTGCATTTCTTTACAATATCTTCTCCAATTTTCGTTAGGTTCGGAAAATGTCTCTCCTGTCCATTTCTAAACGCCCATTTCAGAAACAAAGAGAAGCAATCCTCATGCGGTAGTTCTTTCAAGCTGTATGTAACTACAGATTCCATCATCAAGGCAATATAATCACTACGAGTGGTTACAACAACCTTGCTTCCACGCGCTCCAACCATCAACAAACTTCTCAATTCTAACCACTTTGAACGATCACGACTCCAAACATCATCAATGATGAGTAAAAATCGCCTCTCCCTCAACGCATCTTGAAGCGAAGCGTGCACTTGTTCAACGTTAAAGTTATCACACGGTACACCACTCGCCAAATTAACAATGTTCCTAGCCAATTTTATAACATCAAAATCCTGTGATGCACACAACCAAATTCTCAAAGGAAAGTGCTTTACTACCCTCTCATCTCTATACACTAATTTAGCAAGTGTAGTTTTCCCCACACCTCCAATTCCAACAATTGAAACCACAGAGAGACACTCATCAAAACCATTTTCTTGCATTAGAACTTCAACAATCTCTTCACTCTCATTCCTCCTTCCAACAACATCAGATGGAAGTATAAAGGAATATGTCAAATCCCTTTTCATTTCTAAGGCAATACTTCTCTCAGATAAGTGAAATTTAGCTTTATCAGCTGCAATACTATCTAATCTCCCCCTTATTTCCTTTATCTTATGACTCATTTTGTATCTAAAAAGAATCAGTTTAAAGGGTGAGAGTAAAATACCAACCTTAGATTTAAGCCTTTGCCTCTGTTGACCATAAGTCTGAATTTCATCAAGAAAATCATCAGCAACATAAAGAACATCTTTAAGTTCCTCAAGCCAATTTGTCAACTCATGATTCTTGATTTGTTGCTCTTCAGCATCCAAGAGTACATCTCTAATGGTAATTAAGGTTTTTTTTAGTTTGTTAAGCTCATTTTTAACACCCCAAATTAAGTTAAATTCTTGAAGTGCATGTGATCCTAATTTTCCTAAGATGGAGTTTGCAATATTGAAGAGAAAAGATTCTGCTGCCATATTTTTCAGATGGTGTGAAAAGGTAAAGGGAAAGAAAATTTTGGCAGTGTGAAAATCTTGCTAGGAAAAAAGCTGGATAGAGGAAGTTTGCTGTTCTCTATGACTTGGTTATAACTGAGAAGGAACAAGGAAAGTGAGTTGGATTGAAGGGAAAGAAAATTTTGGCAGTCACTTTTAATTTAGTTATTTAAGGATTAGTCAATTTTCGCTCAAATTTTAGGACACAATGTGTTAGAGTTTAAACCTCAAAATTCAAATTGTATTACATCGAATCTTAAAGTTCAAAAATTATATGCAAAAGCTTAATCTTATGTCCTAAATATTAAATTAGTAGTTCAGAAATTCAAGAAAGGGAAGCCTGGGCGTAACTAGTAAAATTGTTATTATTTGACCAGGAGGTCACGGGTTCGAGCCGTGAAAATAACCTCTTGTAAAAATATTGGGTAAGAATGCGTACAATTGACCATAGACCCTTGTGGTACAGTCCTTTTTCGAATCCCGCGCATAACGAGAGCTTAGTGCATCGGGCTGCCCTTTCTAGTTCAGAAGTATCCTGAATTTTAAATTAACAGCAACTTGGTGTGGTTATTGCTGCACTTTGTCCTTGGATTGAGGCATGGGAGTTGACTACTTGACTTTTGGGGTTTACAAAATTAGGCACGTTTGGCTATAGGTATTAGCAAAACCAATCAATGGTATAAAAATTCATAGGCCATATTTGATTAGACATGAAATTTTAAAAAAAATAAAAAAATTGAAATTTATC